AGTATTACTAATAGCACAATGCTTAGGTGAATAGTTCAGAATATAAGAGCAGAAAAAAACTTTAAAACAAACATTTACTAATGAGTTGGGGTTTTGTGCTGATGATCATAAAATAGTTTCAAGTATTATTATTTTAATGCAACAATAAAGGTCGAGTTAATGCTTAATGTTTTTATACTAACGAGGAAGCATGAATTGGAATATTAAAGAATTTTGATAGGCAGGTTACAGTAAATGTTATTTACATGTTATTTACACCTTACATGGACACAGTTCAGTAATATGGTAAATATAACTTATTTTCATATTCTGCAACATACGCCGTCTATTTAAAGACGAAATTGTGCTTTCAAAGGAGGGATAATAGGCCACGTAATTGCAGATGTTAAAATGATTAATGACTTTTGACCTGAGTTCAGATTTGCTAAGACGAACTGATTGCATGATTGAGCAGTAAGACTAAAGAAAGTTAAAAATTATTGTTGTTTTGCATGCGAGTAGAAGGATGATTGTTTCTGACCCGTTGCAGGTGAATAGGGTATTTTGTAGCTTGTAGATGTGTGGAAGTTAGATTATTTAAGATGAAATGAATTATTTAGCCAGGGGTGACTACTGCATTCAGTTTCATATCGGTAATTAGACAGAGCATGAAGTTTATGTAATGCTTATTTGTTGCTAACGGACGACTAGATACTAACCCTTCCATCGAGTCTGTGACGCTAAGCTGGCTACTAACTTTCTAGCCTCCCAGCGGAAGATGCGGTCTCGGGCGGAGGAGGTCGGCCGCGCCGCCGCCATGACTAACAGCCAGTCCGCGCCTAACATGGGCGGCTACAACGAGCGGCTGGTAGACTGGAATCAGCCTCCCCGCCACCACCCCCTCCCCCCCACCTCCTCCCACAGCTCCCTGATGGCCAGGTCGAGCCCCAACCTGGCAGCGGCACCAGAAGGTACAGACGTGAACCACTCGGCATCCGCCCCCACTAACAAGCCAGCCTATGCTCAGTCCAAGCTCTCCCCCTTGCGTGCCTCCCTCCCCAGCCTGGGGCCTCACACCCCTCCCCTCTACCCTCCGCCCCTTATCTCAGTCATTCCCTCCGAGCGGGTCGAGGTGGGCATCGAGCACCGCACGGTGGACAACACCCGCAGCAACCCCAATCTTCCCAAGTACACCTACACTCCTCCCTCAGAGGCCAGCTCTAACTCGTGCAACACCTCCACCTCCTCCTCCTCTTCGGTCTCCTCGTGGCGCCGGCACCAGCGTGGGGCGGGCCATGGGGCAGGCTGCTCGGCTGTGCGACGAGGCTCCGGCCCGGCCAACTTAGCAGCCGACAGTGGCATTGATCTCAGCTGTCACACGCATGACGATGCTAAACCGTGGCGAAGTCTAGTCGATGTGTCAGTTCAGACAAATGCTGCTGATGCAGGCACTGAGAAGCGCCATGGTTCTTCTCAGACGCCTGGCTCGGCTGCGAGTGCCAACCCTGCCATTCCGCCCCCGCTGGTGGCCCGCACTTCATACCCCATCCTTCCTTCACGTCCTGCTGTAGGTCCTTCCTCTGAGGTAGCTTTATCCAGACGGCGCCCCACTCTGCGCCAACAGATGAGCTTGGCTCCCTCACTTGCTCAGTCTTCTCCCTCCCTCTTGCTGGTTCACTCCCCCCCTTCCTCCCCCCCTCCCTCACAGGAGTATACACTGCGGCAGCAGCAGCAACAAGCATCAAGTGCCGCCCCCATCGGTAACTGAGTGAGCCCCCGCGGCACAGTGAGAACCTCTTGCTTCTCTCTGTCAAGCACCCTCTCTCTGTGGCCCTGCATGATCTCCCCCTGCTATGCCCACTCTGCCTCACTCACCGATCACGTCTTGCAACAGTTTCACTTTTGTTTTTGGACAGACGTTGATATTTGCCATTCTAACTGCCATAATCCTCTTTCAAGGAACAGTTACATATATATCTGTGGCCAGTCTATATTTCTAACTCCATTAAATGAATGAAAAAGATAAGTAGCATTTATTCAGGATTACTTTTATTGCAGATTTTTGCTTGAAATACAGTTTCACTTAATAAACTTTAAGGAGAACTGTATGCTGTAATATTTTGTATTTTTCAAAATGTGAGTTTACACCTCATACAAACATTAATACCCATGACAACACATGAGGTGGCATGAGCAGAGGGCTTCTGTCCTGCATGGATCTGCATGACCTTAGCACAGTTTTACTAACTATTTTTTAATCTCATTTTATTTCCAGATTTTTGTGTGTTTCTTTCTTCTTTTGTTTTACTTTATTTGGTTTTACCGTATATATTTGTCTGATACAAATTTTTGACCACAGTTATTTTTGTGTGTTTTTAGCACTTTCATGGTCTTGTTTGTAGTGTGTTTTTCAGTATTTATTTTTATAGCTTATGGATTCAATATATTATAGCACTAGGGATGTGACTAGGATAATTGCATTAATAGTGCTTGTAGTTACAAACTTGTTCATATTGGAAATCAGTTTTTGCATTTATCACACTTTTAAGAACCTCTTGTATCCAGTGAGATAAAAAAGGATATGCAAATAAAAGTATAGATTTACAAAAGTGAGTGCTTAGAGAAATTCACTCTGTTACATGTCATTCTGGTCATATCCTGTTAAGTTTTGCATTTTGAGGCTAAAATATGGTAGTTCACTGTAAATGTTAGATTTTTATGAATTCTGATTCTTGATTTTTTTCTTTTTGTATATGATTAGTTTAGGTACATGTTGTAGTTTTGATGTCAGCCAACATTAGGTTTGTCATACTTACCAGACTTCATGCTCCATAAAGCCAGATTCATATAAAACAGAGTAGCATTTCTAATTTTAGTAATATAGCAGGATTAACACTCCCTTCCCCCCTCCCCCAAGGTTACCCTGGTGGTCGTCACTTGAGTGAGCGTGATCTGCCATCTAAAGTCCTCCGTGAACACAACCAGGAACCCCCTGCACCGCCCCTTCTCCATCAGGCTCCCCGTATGCAAGCGTCAAAGTCTGTCCCCTCATTAAATAGTGAGTTTATTTATTGTCATTGTTTGTGTAGAAGGATTTAATTTGTATTATGTTTGTATCTGTGTGAAATTTCATACTCTCCAAATGTCCATTACATTTTGAACATTGGAATTCTCTTCTCAGGTGAAGCTGGTAGTAGTGTTGGGGGAAAACCAGCATCACTGGAGGTCTTCAACCCTTCGTACTCTCGCACCTCCTCAAACACCTCTTTGTCACAGCCTCAGAACCCACACTTCCCTCACCATCCCCACCAACATCCACAACAACAACCGCAACACCAGCAGCAACAGCAGCAGCACCAGCAACCACCTATTCGCTCAAGGTTAGTTGTTTTTATTGTCACCTTTTTTATTCTCTTTGAAGTTTGTCATGTAACAGCTAAATGCTGTAGGAACTGCAGGTAACTAATTAATCCAACCCCGGCAGGTCAACTCAAAATCTCAGTGATGGAAGTTATCCAGGCCTTGTGGGTAGGCACCCTAGCAACCCAAGCCTTGTGGTGGAGGAGGAGCGCTACTATCAAAATGTGAACTTCCACCAGGGTCCTCAGGATCCTCGCATGGGCTCGACACGTACTCGTCCCAGCCAACCACTTCCCATGGGGTCTCCTGCTTCCCAGGGCCCTCCAGAACAGATGCGTCCTGACCACCCACGACATGAGCCCCGTAGTGAGCGACCTGCTTCAGCCTTCATGCAACGTGAAGACATGGTGCCACAGAGGACAGAAATGACCAGACCTGCTTCACAGCGTGACATTCGCGCTGATGCTAAAATGATGGAGATGACAGAAGAAGTGCGTCGGAGAGAAGAGCGCATGCGCCTCAATGGTCACCCACCTGCATCCCAGCAACAGCGGCCAGGCCCACAGCAGGCTCATCGTGTGCCAAATACTTACTCCCCAGGAACTCCCTTTTCCCCAGAAGGCTTTAATGGGCCTCAGGGTTTCCCAGGTCAGCACCCAGGCTATCACCCAACCACATCCCAGCCCATCAGCCCTCAAGGGACCATGGCAGGACTCCAGCAGCAGCCCCAGCATGCTCACCCCCAGTATGCAGGTCACCCACAGGGCTTCCCAGGTGGCAAGTTCCCCCCACCAACTGCTCCCAAGCCAAAATCACAAGTACCTCAGGGACCTCTCTCTCCTGATGCTCCAGAAAAACCTATGCGGCAGTATGGGTATGAGGGTATCAATGCAGATGCTCCCCCCAGGCCTCCACCACCAGAGGATGGATACCGTGACTCACCTCCCCCTCCACCCCCTCCAACCTCCACACACCCTCTCTTGCAGACCAGTCGTCCAGCCTCCAATGTTGGCTACAACATGAACTCTGGACAAGGAAACAAGTCTGTATTCAATAAGACCAGTCCATGGGACAGGGAAGAAAAAGAAAGAGTAAGTAGATCAGTTTTTTCTGAACTTTTCTTTTCTGTATGTTCTAATTATGCAAGTGTAACAAATATTTGAATGGTCTTATATTATGATTGGCTTCAGATTACTTACTGAAGGCATTTTTTTTTTACCTTGTCATTTGTTTAATGGGATGATAGGTGTTTTCTAACTTATTTTTTACCTTGTCATTTGTTTAATGGGATGATAGGTGTTTTCTAACTTAATCTTAAGATGTGCTGTAATTGAATTGCGTATTTATGATTTTTTTACCTTACAGAATGATCGTCGGCGTCGTGAGGCTGTGCGACACTGGCGAGATGAACAGATCTCCTCTCTGGAGGGAATAGAAAATCGTACAACCCAACAGGAAGAAAGACTACGCACCCTGAGGCTTGAAAAGGAGTTCCAGCGCCGTGCAGAAGAAATGAATAATGATGATGATGAGGATGAGGATGAGGATGAGGATGTGGAAGAACGAGAGAATCACAGAGAAAATGAGGATGATGTAAAATATAATCAAGAGAATAATGCTACAAGGGAATACAATAAGCTCCCAGGAAATGCTCCTCTCATCACCAGTGGGCAAGAGCCACGCATGAATGGTGGAGGACCTGTGGATGAGGAAAGAGCACGAAAGGTGGACGAGATCCGAAGGAAACAGCAGGAGCTTGAAGCTGCTAGTGAGGTGGAAGAGCGACTCCTACGTGAAGCGCAGAGGCGACAGCAAGAGGAACAACTGAGACGCTTCCAGTTGCAACAAGAGCAGCCACAACGGCAACAGCAGCAGCAACAACAGCAGCAGCAGCAGCAGCAGCATTCACATTACCAGCACCAACATCATGCCACTCAAAGACTGGACACTCTGGTTGGATCTCCATTCCAGAACCAGTATAGTAATGGTCCTGTCAATGGTTCACGAAATCTTGGTGGCTACCCAGAACACAACCAGAGTACTGACAGCAATCATGGCATGGATGCACTAGTACCAGGAGCTCAGCACAGTCCGGTGCCTCCTGAGCGAGGGTCATCTTATAGCATAATGCAACAGCAATCGCAACACTCTTCAAACAATAATCGACACAAGGGTCCTGATGGTCCTCCCACTACAATAAAACGTGTCCAGTTCTCTGAGACAACAACTATGGACACCCACATCACTTATGATAATAATGCAAACCAGGAGAAGACTCCAAGGCAGGATCCTGATGTAAGTATCTATCACTGTATTGTGTATTTGTGTAGATAAGACTTGAATGGTTTATGTTGTATGCTTTACTAACTACCTAGAAGTAAAATTATGCTCTTCTCTGTTTTCAAGCACATCAGATCATATATACAGAAGGCAAGTGTCTTTTTTATATAGATATTGCTTCTGTAAATCCACTTGTTTCTGCCTGTTAGAACTTTGCTCTTCATGCGCAGTTTTTAATTAATTTTGTTGTTTACAGAATTTTATCAATGAAGCAGAGACTCTTCTTAACTCCTCTCCAAACCGCACTGGTGGAACACCAGGTGTTATTGGTGCTCAGGAAGTATACAGGTAAGAGTGGCCAAAAATTATTACTTTTTCTTGCATCAGTTTTGATGAATCAGGAATGATATAGAATTTTGTCTGTACATAATAGATTAAAGCACCAATTTTGTCTGTTGAAACACCAATTGATACCCTGTGAAGAGGCTCTGGATTTTGTTATTCTTACTTAAAGTGATTTGAAGCATGTTATCAAAAAGAATACTTTTGAGTGCCATAACTAATACCATACTCTAATTTTCACCAGGGATCCTCGTTGGCGCCGCCTGCAAGAAAAGCAAGCGCAGCAAGCAGCAGCCAAGACCCCTGGCCCTGAGAAACTCTCCTTCAAGGAGAAGATGAAAATGTTTGCTATGGAAACTGGCGAGGCTGAAACACCCAAAGACAAAGTTAAAATCAGCCGTGCTCAGAGAGACATTGAACACTGAGGAAAAGAAACACATTAATGGCTGTTACTTGATGTACCAGTGAGAGACAGTCTAAGGTCACAGTGGTTCTCAGTTTACATAAGACAAATATTCTGCAGGAGATGCTTATGAACGTGTGATTTGACAAAGGAAGGTCTGACTTCGTTTCGTAATTGCTGTAATATTCAGTAAACCGAGACCAGTTGTTATATATATATATTTTATATTTCTTTTACTCTATTTTATGTATAGCTGACCATTTGATGCAAGTCAAAAGTTAGTATGTTGTTATTTTAGATTGCTGCAAACATTTTATTTCAAATGAGCTAAAGGACATAAATGTATATTATTGGCAGCTTGTTGGGGAGGATAAGACCTTTTGTGTTCCTGTAATATAGTAGCTAGCATTTCATACCCACATATCAGCACGAGTACAAAGTGTACAGAAGTGGAGCATCTCCCTCCAGCAACTGTCAGGGCAGCTGGCCACCTGCTGAGGTGTTGCCAGTACCCAGGGAACTTCATCAGTCATCTCCCCGCCTCATGTGGACCAAACGGAGGACCCACATAGTTTACCTATATACTAAACCAAGCCTTTATAGGAATGCATTGTTGTTGACCTGCCTTATAGATTGGCCAATGATTCATTTACTGTCACATCATTGGACTTATAGCTTTGTAGGTCAATTGTCCCTACAAGGTATTGGCTATATCCCCCTGTACATATGTAAAGTTTGAGGATATGGTAGGTAGGCATCACTGCATACTCAACCAAAACCTGCACGTTTGCTTCAGTATTGTGGTTAAAAATGAGTTTTGGTAAAACATTTCCTTGGGTTCTCTTTCCATATGTTCCACATAAGAAAATAGTGTCATTAATACCCTAAGTGGGAATCTTGCAAAGGAATCTTGTCACAATTACTAGATAGAGTTGGTCATACCTTCACACTTAGTAAATGTCTGTCATATTGGATGAAGAATAATTATATAATGTACATTTATCAATTATTTTATGATTACTATGGAACAAAGTGTGGTAGGCTGGGGTATGTGGATAGAAGATTAGTTGTGTCTGTGATAAAGGGTGACCCCAGCCTCGCCTCACTCATTTTACACAATACAATAAACACAGATATCTGTATTTAATTGACCTTTTTATTGATAATGTGAAAGTTAAAAGAAATGTCCATTTATTCCTTGTTTGCATTACTTCAAATCAAAGGACATGAATTTTGTGTGGCTTATGATGGAGCTTTAGTTTGAGCAGAATGTATATGATAATTTTTTTATTGATTTTTTAGTATGTAAGTATTCCTGCTTTGTCTGTAGGAATTTGTGATTATAATTATCAGAAGAGAACTCTGTTAGTGAACTAATAGATGCCATTAAAGAATATCTGACCACACAGATGCATTTAAACTTGATAACTTCAGTTGTAAAGTTGGATGCTTTTCATGTGCCTTTGGTTTGACATGAAAAGGCTAATTTATTCAGTTAACTGTACATGATGTACTTTGCCACACATTTTCACTATTTTGTAAGCATCATGCACAGGTGATACAAAAGTACTTGGAAACTATACAAGCCCTCTCTCTCTCTCACTCTGCCTGTTTTTGCACATGGAAGAGGATGATTCTTGAGATATGCTTAATTTTCAGTAGTAATTTGTCTTACAAACCACAACATAAATGTAGGAGAAGAGTAAATTTAGAATGGAATCCCTTCAGTTTTGGCCAGAAAATTATGGACATGCATTAGACATAAGCTCAGGTGCCTTTGGTTCCCATGAGGCACAAAGAATAATAATGAGAGAGACAAAGAGAGATGAGAGAGACAAAGAGAGATGAGAGAGACAAAGAGAGATGAGAGAGACAAAGAGAGATGAGAGAGACAAAGAGAGATGAGAGAGACAAAGAGAGATGAGAGAGACAAAGAGAGATGAGAGAGACAAAGAGAGATGAGAGAGACAAAGAGAGATGAGAGAGACAAAGAGAGATGAGAGAGACAAAGAGAGATGAGAGAGACAAAGAGAGATGAGAGAGACAAAGAGAGATGAGAGAGACGAAGAGAGATGAGAGAGACAAAGAGAGATGAGAGAGACAAAGAGAGATGAGAGAGACAAATAGAGATGAGAGAGACAAAGAGAGATGAGAGAGACAAAGAGAGATGAGAGAGACAAAGAGAGATGAGAGAGACAAAGAGAGATGAGAGAGACAAAGAGAGATGAGAGAGACAAAGAGAGATGAGAGAGACAAAGAGAGATGAGAGAGACAAAGAGAGATGAGAGAGACAAAGAGAGATACATATGTAAAGTTTGAGGATATGGTAGGTAGGCATCACTGCATACTCAACCAAAACCTGCACGTTTGCTTCAGTATTGTGGTTAAAAATGAGTTTTGGTAAAACATTTCCTTGGGTTCTCTTTCCATATGTTCCACATAAGAAAATAGTGTCATTAATACCCTAAGTGGGAATCTTGCAAAGGAATCTTGTCACAATTACTAGATAGAGTTGGTCATACCTTCACACTTAGTAAATGTCTGTCATATTGGATGAAGAATAATTATATAATGTACATTTATCAATTATTTTATGATTACTATGGAACAAAGTGTGGTAGGCTGGGGTATGTGGATAGAAGATTAGTTGTGTCTGTGATAAAGGGTGACCCCAGCCTCGCCTCACTCATTTTACACAATACAATAAACACAGATATCTGTATTTAATTGACCTTTTTATTGATAATGTGAAAGTTAAAAGAAATGTCCATTTATTCCTTGTTTGCATTACTTCAAATCAAAGGACATGAATTTTGTGTGGCTTATGATGGAGCTTTAGTTTGAGCAGAATGTATATGATAATTTTTTTATTGATTTTTTAGTATGTAAGTATTCCTGCTTTGTCTGTAGGAATTTGTGATTATAATTATCAGAAGAGAACTCTGTTAGTGAACTAATAGATGCCATTAAAGAATATCTGACTACACAGATACATTTAAACTTGATAACTTCAGTTGTAAAGTTGGATGCTTTTCATGTGCCTTTGGTTTATTCAGTTAACTGTACATGATGTACTTTGCCACACATTTTCACTATTTTGTAAGCATCATGCACAGGTGATACAAAAGTATTTGGAAACTATACAAGCCCTCTCTCTCTCTCACTCTGCTTGTTTTTGCACATGGAAGAGGATGATTCTTGAGATATGCTTAATTTTCAGTAGTAATTTGTCTTACAAACCACAACATAAATGTAGGAGAAGAGTAAATTTAGAATGGAATCCCTTCAGTTTTGGCCAGAAAATTATGGACATGCATTAGACATAAGCTCAGGTGCCTTTGGTTCCCATGAGGCACAAAGAATAATAATGATACAGAGTTGAGAGAGAGGAAGAGAGATAAAACATATGAATAGAGATGAGAGATTGATAGAGACGAGAGAGATGAATAGAGAGGAGAGGGAGGTGAGAGAGATGAATAGAGATGAGAAAAGGGAATATAGACTAATTGAGATGAATAAAGGTAAGAGAGACAAATAGAGATGAGAGAGACGAATAGGGATGAGAGAGATGAATAGAGACGAGAGACGAATAGAGATGAATAGAGATGAGAGAGACGAATAAAGGTGACAGAGAAATAGAGATGAGAGAGATGAATAAAGATAAGAGACACAGAGATGAGAGGGACAGAGAAATGAAGAGAAATGAGAGATGAGATAGACAAAGAGAAATGAGAGAGATGAATAGAGATTAGAGATAAGAGAGAAATAGAGATGAGAGAGAGGAATAGAGGTGACAGAGACAAATAGAGATGAGAGAGATGAATAGAAATGAGAGACGAATTAAGATGAGAGAGACAAATAGAGCTGAGACAGATGCATAGAGATGAATAGAGATTAGAGATGAGAGAGATGAATGGAGATTAGAGATGAGAGAAACGAACAGAGATGAAAAGAGATGAGAGAGACAAATTGAGATGAGAAAGATTAATAGAGATGAAAGAGATGAATAGAGATCATAGAGACAGAGATGAAGAGAGATCATAGAGACAGAGATGAGAGAGACAGAGAGATGAGAGATGAATAGAGATGTGAGAGACGAAGAGAGGTGAGAGAGACAAAGAGATGAATAGAGATGAGAGACGAATAGAGATGAGAAAGACAAAAAAAGATGAATAGAGATGAGAGAGACAAAGAGAAATGAGAGATGAATAGAGATGAGAGAGACGAAGAGAGGTGAGAGAGAAGAAGAGAGATGAATAGAGATTAGAGATGAGAGAGATGAATAGAGATGAGAAAGATGAAAAAAGATGAATAGAGATGAGAGAGATGAATAGGGATGAGAGAGACAAATTAAGATGAGAGAGACAAATTGAGATGAGAAAGATTAATAGAGATGAGAGAGATGCATAGAGATGAATAGGGATGAGAGAGACAAATTAAGATGAGAGAGACAAAGAGAGATAAAGAGAGGTGAGAGACAAAGAGAGATGAGATATGAATAGAGATGAGAGACAGAGAAATGAGAGAGACAAAGAGATGAGAGACAAAGAGAAATGAGAGAGACAAAGAGAGATGAGAGACAAAGAGAGATGAGGGAGATAAGAGATGAGAGAGACAAAGAGAGATGAGAGACAAAGAGAGATGAGGGAGATAAGAGATGAGAGAGACAAAGAGAGACCAATAGAGATGAGAGAGACAAAGAGAGATGAGAGAGACAAATAGAGATGAGAGAGACAAAGAGAGATGAGAGAGACAAAGAGAGACCAATAGAGATGAGAGACAAAGAGAGATGAGAGAGACAAATAGAGATGAGAGAGACAAAGAGAGATGAGAGAGACAAAGAGAGATGAGAGAGACAAAGAGAGACCAATAGAGATGAGAGAGACAAAGAGAGATGAGAGAGACGAATAGAGATGAGAGAGACAAAGAGAGACTAATAGAGATGAGAGAGCCAAAGAGAGATGAGAGAGACAAAGAGAGATGAGAGAGACAAAGAGAGATGAGAGAGACAAAGAGAGATGTGGGAGATAAGAGATGAGAGAGACAAAGAGAGATGAGAGAGACAAAGAGAGATGAGAGAGACAAATAGAGATGAAATCAACAAAGTGAGATGAGAGAGATGAGGGAGATAAGAGATGAGAGAGACAAAGAGAGATGAGAGAGACAAAGAGAGATGTGGGAGATAAGAGATGAGAGAGACAAAGAGAGATGAGAGAGACAAAGAGAGATGAGAGAGACAAATAGAGATGAAATCAACAAAGTGAGATGAGAGAGATGAGGGAGATAAGAGATGAGAGAGACAAAGAGAGATGAGAGAGACAAAGAGAGATGAGAGAGACAAAGAGAGATGAGGGAGATAAGAGATGTGAGAGACAAAGAGAGATGTGAGAGACAAATAGAGATGAAAGTAACAAAGAGAGATGAGAGAGACGGAGAGAGATGAGAGATATGAATAGAGATGAGAGACAAAGAGAGACGAAAAGAGATGAGAGATACGAAGAGAGATGAGATGATAGAGACAAAGAGAGATGAGAGAGACAAAGAGAGATGAAGAGAGATGAGAGAGACAAAGAGAGATGAAGAGAGATGAGAGAGACAAAGAGAGATGAATAGAGATGAGAAAGATAGAGATGAGAGAGATGAATAGAGATGTGAGACAAATGGAGATGAGAAAGAGTAATAGAGGTGAGAGAGATGAAGAGAGATGAGAGAGATAAATAGAGATGAGAGACGAATAGAGATGAGAGAGAGGAATAGAGATGGGAGAGATAAATAGAGATGAGAGAACTTAATAGAGATGAGATAAATGAAAAGAGATGAGGGAGATGAATACAGTGTCCAGAGATATGAATAGAGATGTAAGAGAGGTGAGAGAATGGAGATATGAGAAATGTGAGGGACATGATGAGAAAGATGAATAGAGATGAAGAGAAATGAGAGAGGTGAGAGAGATTAATAGAGATTTGATAAGAATTTATTTACAAAACAGTGTACATGCCCTCAAAAATGCTAGGGTAAGACACTATAGCATCTATCCAGACTGGCTGTGCTTCTATTTTTGTAGAAGGTTGTCCATCAAACATTGGTTATACATTCCAGAAGGGTTGTGCCATTGTGCTTACATTATTCGCATATC